TTAATTTCAAATTCTTTGGTTAGTTTCCACTTAAGTCTCATAATCTGTCCCAAATCATCCCCAATTAAAATTATGTCATCCATATAGACTATTAAGATAACAGTTTTGCATTATATAGATTTTCGTGTGAAGAGGGTGTGATATGATTTTCCTTGTGTATGACCTTGACTTTTAACAAACCTTGTGTATGATCTTGACTTTTAACAAACCTTGTGAACCTCTCAAACCAAGCTTTAGGTGATTGTTTGAGCCATAAAGAGCCTTCTATAGTTTATATACCTTGGTTCCAAAGCTCTCTGTGAACCCATATGGAGGTTCCATGTAAACTTCCTCCTCCAAGTTTCCATTTAAGAATACATTTTTTACATCAAGTTGACTTTAAGGCCAGTCAAGATTTATAGTCATGGATAAAAGTGCTCTCACCACGTTTAACTTTGTTACTGGACAGAAAGTCTCTAAGTAGTCTACTCCAAATATTTGGGTAAAACCTTTTACTATGAGACGAGCTTTGTACCTCTCTAAATATCCATCCGAGTGTACTTAACTGTGAATACCCACTTACAGCAAACAACTTTGATGCGGAACCCATGATCAATTACTGTGATAAAAAACTTCGCATATAACATTAGTATTTAGAATCATAAAACTCTTAACAAATCCTCTCTACTTGACCTACATTCAACACGTAAATGTCAACAAAGATAATTGGAATAGTTTGAATTGATTAAAAACGCCACAAGTATGAACTTGATAAATTAGAAATCAATTCGAAAGAAAATTAATAAAACATCACAAAGATTCACCTTGATAAGTTAAACTCAATTTTCATTTAATAAGGTTGAAGAAATCTAAATAGTTGAAAACTAAAACTTCATAATTTTATTATTCTCAAACTTTATTCTTTGTAATTGTGAATTGAAGACCTATTTATAAAGTAGATCATGTGCATTACAAGTAAATAAACTTCTTAACTTAATGGAAGAAATTATAAAAAAATTAAATATCGTCTTGAATGAGAAAATAATAAAACTTAAGAAGATTTTGACTATAATAGGGTAGATATGATATTTTTTTTTTAAATGAGAATATTTTGATTATTGTGGAAGAATTAGGGGAAATAAATATGGTTAATTAAAGTTAGTCATTAAAGGAGGAAAGAGGTCATCTATATCTTTCCTAAACCATAGGATTTAGTTATTTAATAAATGAAATTTAATTTTCTCTTCCATTAAAATATCATATGGTTTAAAAAGAAATCTTCCCTCTTGGTTGATTCTTCCTTTAAAGAAATTATTTTCTCTCTTCTTGCTCACATCATCCCCTCCATCTTCAAAAATGATTCATCTTCGAATCAGACATTTCTTATATTTGGGTTTCACCAATTCTACTTTTTTGGAGAAAATGTTATCGGTGAGGATGTTGCATAAGATCATTATGAAAATCTGCAGACAATAATTAGTAAATAAAATAACACTCGCTCACGTGTTTCACTTCTTGTGTTTCATTCGACCTCCTTCTTTCAAGTTGAATGTCCGAATTGAATTTTCGTGAATTAAGATAATCAAATTTTGTTTATGATACTTCAATAAAATCTTAGGGTAAA